AAAAAAAAAAAAAAAAAAGTTCACCAGGATCCAGGATTGAAAACTATTTCTTAAATCCTAGACAGAATCCCAACATTCCACAAGTAAGACCTGGGGATCTCCCTTAGGAACAGATGCACAGAATGGTTTTGATTATTTCTTAGAGCAGTCTGCTATTTCTGTCTTTTGAATAATTCTTTTCATGCATTTTCTTACAGATATGAACAGGACCTTTCCTGACAATGTAAAATTCCAAAAAACTGCAGATCCCTGTTTACAGAAAACCCTGTACAATGTGCTTTTGGCATATGGGCATCATAACCAAGGTGTGGGATACTGCCAGGTGAGCATGTTAGGAACCCTCTAAATTAGTATGCAGTAGATGGAAAGGTGAAAGTAATGGGTACCCCACAAATTTACAACAGTGATACCCTCTAGGAATAAGTTAAATATTTTTTTCCAATCTAATTCATAAACTCCCTATGTCATAATACCTTAAAAAAAAAAAAAAAAAGACTGGCTTTGAATATTTTCTAGTGAGAAAAGCAGTGGGACATCTATTTAACAATAACTTTTGGTGTCAAGGTGGTAGTTAGATGGGGTGAGGGTGGAAAGTTGGGAAACAGGAAGTAAATTAATGAATACAGTATTTATTTGACTACAAAGGTAATCAGAGCCTGAATTGCCTTAGTGCAAATGGTATGTTTGTGTTATGGGGTGATCTTCTGTGAAATTCAAGATAGGGGGTTCAACATGCTTCATTACTTACCAGCTTAATTCGGTCTCGCTTTTGATTTGCAACCTTGTGAGGTTGGAAAAAATAATTTCCTTTTAGTTTATGAAATGGTCTCAGTTTAAGAGCATAACAGAGAAAACCTAAAAGAGCCTCTAATGAGGGATGTCAGAAGCCATACATATTCTCTTTATGGTGCACGTGCATTTGACTGCTTGGACTTAGTGCTTGATGCTGCTGTTGCAGTTTTCTGTGCTCACTAGAGAGCAAGGGGGGACCACCTGTGAGCAGGAGGCAGCTGTTTGGCAGGGGCTTGCCCACACAGACTTTGAGGATTCCTGGCAGGGCTCTGGGCTGCAGAAGGGCTTGCCTCTGTGAATGCTTTCAGGAGAGCACTCCCTGCTTTTTATCCAGAATGAAAGCAACAGATGATAACCTGTCCCATGGTTGCAGTATCAAGCTTCATGGCTGTCACGGGATTTGGAAAGCCGCTTTTCTTGCTTTTGAAGCCACATACTCTTAGAAGCAGCCAGCCTGTATAAAGGTTTCATAAGAGGGCAGGGAATGAAATCAATCCGTGGTGACAGGTAGTTTAAATCTGACGTTCATGTGTGGATGATGGCTCCAGAGACTTAATATAAAAGACCAGAGAGCCAAAAGTACTTGGCTCATTAAATAAAATTTGAATAAACTTTGTGCACAATTTGGTTTGCTTTGGCAACTTGAGTTTTTGTTTGGTACTCATTATAACTCTTTGGTGCAAGCAAAAGAAGTGGGTCCCAGTGATAAAAGAAGGGAAAATGCAGGCAAGGAGTAAAGCAAATCGTTTTGAAAAAAGCAGCAGCAGAGAAATGTGATAGAGACTCATCGCTGTACTAAATAATTCATCAGGTTATATTATTACATTACTCTGTTACATGTAGGTGGTGTCTGCATAATGATGAAGCCAGGATAGGTCTATTCTTCTCAGACAGAATTTCTGTTACTCTTGGTTTTTATTGCTGTTAATTTATTATTCAGAAGCAAGGAAGAAGTCATTAAATAGATGTTTTTACTGCTTTTCTCACTGGGAAATATTTAAAGCCATAACATTTTTTTTTTAAGGCATATGACTTAGAAAGTTTTTAAATTGGGTTGGTAAAGAATACGAATTGGGAAGGCAGAATGGCCTACAACCTGTGTTTAGATTATTTCACTTACTGTTCTTTTTGGTTTTTAAAATAGTTTTTTTTTAATTGTTGTAAATGCATATACACCTACTCCTCACTTAACCTGCTATTTCATTATCCAACAATAGTACAAAAATCTACCAAACACACTGCTATCAAGTCGTTTCCAAGTATGGCGACCCTCATTGGATTTCCAAGGTGGTAAATCTTTACAGAAGTAGATTGTCCCATCTTCCTTCTGCAGAGTGGCTGGCAGTTTTGAACTGCAAGCCTTCTGGTTAGCAGTCACATACATTAGGCACTGTGCCACCAGAACTCCTTAAAAATCTACCATCTGACTATATTATATACCAGCGACATACATCTGACAGTAATGAATACTAAGGCGCAAAGCTGTGATGCTGGCTGTGATGGTTAAGGTTATGTGTCAAGATGACTGGGCTGTGATTCTCAATGGTTTGACAGTTATGCAATGATGTAATTTGGCAGTTATGTAGTGATGTAGTCATCCTCCATTTTGTGATCTGATGTGGTCATCCTCCATTTTCGCATAATGCTGATTTTCACATAGTGACTTGGTCTTTGGAATGTAACCATGTCAGTGTGAGGATTGGGTATATAATATATTTGCAAATTCAGCAATAAAATAGCTTTTTTTTTTTTTTTTTAAACTCTCATTATTTTAAATATTACCAGGATTCTAAAAGCTCTGCTGGTTTTGTTCATGTGTATATGTATACTTGATAGCAATGGGTTGGTTTGTTTGGTTTTATGCACTTGTAGATGTGCAGGCGTATGTATGGAGTCATAGTGTATATACTGTTTTTATACTGCTTTTCATACTCAAGATGACTGCATATATGCATGTCCATGATTCAGCACCACATGCTTGTCATTGGTGATAGTGATGCTGTCATCTTCCAGCTCTCGTTTGCATCATTTGCTCATTGGTGTCTGTTCTCAGTTACAGAAATTTACTTGTCTTTTGCCTTCACTGGTAGCAATAAAATAGTTGTCTATACAGATTGCTTTTGTTTATTTTATTTTTATTTTGGCAGTGTTTCCTCCCCTCCCCACCCACCCCGGTAACCAACATAGAAAGTTTCCTTCTGTATATAAACCTTCCCTTGACTTTTTACAATAATGAACTAATACAATATTTGTCCTTCTGTGATTGACTTATTTCACTCAGCATAACATCCTCCAAGTTCATCCACATTCTGTGGTGTTTTGCAGATTCTACACTATTCTTTAGTGTTGCATATTCCATTGTGTGTTGCTTTTGTTTCTTGAGTCACATTTTCAAGTGGAATTGCAGGGTCAAGGAATGTGAAAGGCTGTGTGTGCATGTGTATACATGAATGTGCTTTAGCTCTTGATATACATTACTACATTGGTTTCCATATTAAAATAATGTATAGTATTGCCAGCAGCATGTAGGAATATTGGTTTTATGCAGCTTATTCTTCTAAATTTTGTATCATGTTAATTTATCTTACTGGTTTATAAAACTGAGGTTTTATTTCCTTTATTACTAGAGAAATACATATTTGTTTTACAAAATACAGGCGGGGAAAAAAAGCTACCTGAAATCCAGTTACCCAGAAATGAACACTAGCTCACTGTTATAAAGCCTTTTTCCCCAGGCCTAGCTGTTTCTCTCAAGAGTTTCTTATATTTAATGTATGTACCATGAGTTTTCTAAAACAGTCTCTATCACAAAATTTTCTTAATATTTCCATGTGTCACATCATATTCTTTACTGTTTTTATTAAATGTGATCATTGACGTAGTTTACCTTCTGAATACTTTTATACTATTAGTAGAAACCCAACCCAGCCCAACCCACTGCTATTGTGTCAATTCCAACTTATAGTGACCCCAGTTGGGTTTTCAAGACTGTAAATGTTTATGGAAGTAGATTACCTTTCTTCCTCCTGTGGAAGAGCTAGTGGGTTTGAACTACTCACCTTCTGGGTGGCAGCCAAATGCCTTACGCACTGTACCACCAGACCTTTAATTATTTTCGAAATCAAAGGTAAATTATATTATCACAAGATTACTAGTAGTTGAAGAGATATTCATTGATTTTAGTATTCTAAAGCAGTATTCAGTAGAGTTTCATTGAAATTTTTCCATTTTGTTCATTTTCAGGTAGGCTTAAAAACATTACTACATGACAGATCCTTAGTATCTAAAGTTCTTCTAAACATTCTAGAATGTGCAAGTTTTAGGGATTGAGTAAAAGAAATTAGAACTTAGTTAGCAGCCAACCATGACAGAATCAGCTCAATATGAATTTCTGTTTCTCACTTTTCTCATTTCAGGGAATGAATTTTATAGCAGGATATCTGATTCTTATAACAAAGAATGAAGAAGAATCTTTTTGGCTATTAGATGCTCTTGTTGGAAGAATATTACCTGGTATGTTGGAAATTCCTACTGCATGCCTTATTCTGTTTCTGGTATTATTGAAATGATTCTGCTGACAAAGCAAGAATTAATTGAAACATAATTGAATTGTTTGGGAGTTGAGGTTAAAAATTCTTTTGTAGTTGAGTGAAAGAGAAGTAAAATATTTAGGTAGATTGACCTCAGCTAGAGCAGTTGGGCATTTCTGGACCCTGTGGACTTTTCTTCTCTTCCATGATAGAGCTTAAATGCAGCTGAGACTATATGTTTGGCTCATCTGTTACTCATTCTGTGCCCTTTTATATCAAGATTTGTAGGGGCACATGGCAATTATATTAAGAACTGTTTCACTCCAGGTTGCAAAATCTTAGATGTTAATTTGGTTTGGGGTATGTATTTGTTATTTTGTTTGTGAATACTAGTAAGAGCACAATAATTATCAGCTATTATTATTGATATTTAAGGGCAAAGTTGCTCTCTTTATATAGTTCTTCTTTTCTGTTTATTAATAAGTAAATTTACCTCCAATTATAGCAAGGTATGTGGAAGCTCTGGTGGTGTAGTGCCTAAGGCATTTGACTGCTAACCAGAAGGCTGGTGGTTCAAATCTACTAGCCACTCCTCGGAAGGAAGATTGGGCAATGTACTTCCATAGTGATACTGCCTCAGAAACCCAAGGAGGGGTTGCTGAGTCAGATCTGACTCTATGGCAGTGAGTTTGGTGTTTTTCTATAACAAGGTATAATGTAGATAATGAAGTGTAATATATAATCACATTAGGAATCAAAAGGTAGAAACAGCCTAAATACTCATCAACAGATGAATGAACAAACAAAATGTGATACATACATACAGTGGAATATTACTCAGCCAGTAGAAGAAATGAAGTCTTGATACATGCTACAGTAGGGATGGAGCTGGAAGACACCACGCTGAGTGAAATAAATCAGTCACAGAAGGACAAATAGTATATGACCTCACTTAAAATATAAAAAGATAAGAAAAGGCAAATGTCTAGAGAACAAATTTTATTAGTGTTTACCAGGGGCAGGAAGGTGGTAAAAATGAGGGGTAAATGGTAATGGAAAAAATGCATTGATTAAAAGTAGGGTTGCACAACTGATTGTTGTAATTACTGGCAATAAGTTGTACACCTCTAAAAGTTAAACTCATGAAAGTTGGTGATAGATGTATTCACAACAATGACCACACACAAAAAAGAGAGTGAGAGAGTAGCAGCTGAGGCTGATTATGTGCAACCAAAAACCTCACGGGGTTTGGTTCCTTGGTTTAGAGATTTAGGGTCATGCTTTTGTGGGACATCCTAGTTACTTGGCCTAATAGTGTGTTTAGTGCTTGTGTTCTTCCTCCTAGTTTGCTGTGTAGTGCTAGGGTCTTAAAAACTTGTAAGTGGCCATACAAGGCACAACAATTACTTGTTATTTACCTGGAGCAACAGAGGAAGAAGGAGAGTCAGGAATAGGAGGAGGATATGGGATATGTGGCTAATTGCCTTCATGAACTACTACCTCTTTTGCCATGAGGCCAGAAGAACTGGATGGTGCCCAGCCACCCATTACTGAACATTTTGGTCAAAGATTCTGTAGACGAACTCTGATCAAAAGGTGGACAATGCAGAACAGAACTTCAAATCCTGATGGACTCGAGACGTTGTGGAGCCAAGGGGGCTGGATGAACCCCTGAAACTATTGCCCTGAGCTAAACTTTAAAGGAGCTCTGGTAGCATAGTGGCTAAGACACTTGCCTGCTAACCAGA